TATAGAGAGAGAGAGAGAGAGAGAGAGAGAGAGAGAGAGAGAGAGAGAGAGAGAGAGAGAGAGAGAGAGAGAGAGAGAGAGAGAGAGAGAGAGATATATACACACACACACACATACATACATGTATTGAGACTTGGGAACAAATTAGCAAGCCTCTGCTTGTGCTAATGCTCAAATCTGTTGAACGCACACCTCCTCATGAACAGGGTGAAACGAGCAATTTACGACCAGTCTGTAAGAGAGTTTGGTGAACCTGACTTGGAGCTCTCATGCGAGTAAGCCTCACAAAAACATGAAGCCCAATATTTCTGCAACAACTCCTCACATTTAAACCCAGTTTAGCACGTAGAATTATACATGTCTGGTTTAAGCTTATGCTTTGATGGGAAAAAAAGATGACTGGTTGCTCATCTAATCCTATATTTAGGCAAAGTGAAGGATAGCAGATTCATCAGAAGAAGAAGCAGAGTGTATCAGCACACTGGATTACAGCCTCCAACCTTCTTTTTTTAACATGTCAACCCTACCAGGTGGAGTCTGGATGAGATCAGTTACCTGTCTAGATGAGAGAGGACTTCGCAGAGCTGGCTGAGCAGCGCACGATGCTTGTGAGGGTTTCCCTCCAGCACTCCGCTGAGACGACTCAGGTAGGAGTCCAGGTTCCCATGAGACGCCGTCTCTCCGGTGCCTGTTCAGAAAAGTCACAGGAGAATAAATCTAGCAGAAAAATATAAATCGGATATCCATCCGTCTTCGTTAATGCATTTCTCCTCTGACTAAATACAGCCAACTGACTGCTGACCTGGCAGGGGAACTGATGACAGACTGTTGACCAATGTGTGTTTAATGGTCAGCAAGTTTTGGTGAAGAGCCTGGGTGCGCTTCTCGTCCAGCCCCAGTTCAGCCTCCAGGCGCTCTTTAGCACTGTACATGTCCTTTATGTGCCGCTGAAGCACCGCATTCTGCTCTTCAAACTCAATGTTGGCCTTACGAAGCCGTCGCAACTCAGCCTCTCGAGCTGAAAGCACAAACAAGGGAAAATAAAAAACGGGATTAGGTGGGAGCACAAGATTATGTCTTGCGTGTCATATTGGATGGGATTTACTTTACAGTCGGGGGATTTGATAAAATGTCCTATTAGCTAACAAAGTAATTGCACAATTTGCTTTAGCAGCCATCCGTAGTAGATTAATAGAACGATCGTTTCCTGTGTTCAGTTTCTCTGTTACCTTTGTTCTGATCGAGGAACTCCTCTGTGAAGATGGGGATGTCGAATCCTTTGGTGAGGTCACAAGCCTAAAGGACATAATCAGCAAATCAACAACTTAGCTGTTTGAAAAGGATGTGAAACTGACATCACAGAATAAACGGTGACACGATCTGGACGTGTCATGTACCTTTGATACCGAAGACTCTGAATTAGTACTAATGATGACAGACGGAGTGTCTTCTGAAAGAGAAAAGATGTGCATATTACAGCTCACACGGCACAGAGTCATGAAATAAAGCACACAAACTCTCGTGGTGTGATGTGCAACACGTATGTGGAGCTCCGTTGTCGTCACCTTTCTTGATCCTCTTGTCTTGTATCTTAGCGGTGGTGATGTGATAGGCCTCAGTCTGCTGATAATCCTTCAGTTCCTGGGCATACTGCATCTTCTCCCGCTCCGCCTCGTCCAGGTAGCGCTGTCGGTGCAAAGATAATGTAGTGCCGCTTTACTGAGGGAAGAATTTGGTCTCGCTGTGACCGGTTAGTCCATCAATGAGCCTGCCGCTGAGCAGGAAGTAGCAGGCTAACCTTAGCAGTTATAATATTCTCATAAAGCTTAAAGCTTACCTGTTTGTCATTCACGGCTAATTGTGTCCACTCTGCTCCAAGCCTCTTGGTGATTTCTGGGAACGGTAAGTCAGGGTATCTGGCCCGCATACGTTCTCGGCGTTCATTCAGGAAGCGGACATATCCCGTCACCGGTGCTTTGGGACCATTTGGTAGCACCTTCTTTCTTTTCTTTCCCTTCGGCCAGCCTCTCTTCTTTGGCTGCAGAGAGGAGGAACAACACTCACATGAAGGCGGGGGCTGCTCCCTCATCCGTGCTACTCAGCAGACAACTATCAATTGTATTACGTTAAAGTAAGAGGTATTTCTTTATGGGCTAGGGTTATAAATATTAACTGACACCGTTTGTCCTTGTTATTTTGTTTTATTAGTTTATTAGCATATATGTTATATATTGCAGGATGGTTGTAGTAGTGTGAATTACTTTTAGCCATCTAATAAAATGAGAACTGAGTGTGTTTACAGTTCAAGATCTTTGGTTGCAAAGACAGCCTTACTCCTCCAACTAAGGAGGCAGAAGTCCTTTACGGAGCCTGTTGGTCAGATGTCGCAGCACTCACCTCTTCTTGTGGTTGATCTGCTGAATGTGAAGGTCTGGACTGCTGCGATGCATCACCCTGCTCTTGTTTGATCCCACCCATGACCACCGTGCACGGACGATGTAACTGGGTTAATCGGTTAGGGGTTTACGTGGTGGGGAGAAGCCTGTGCAGAATAACATAGGAGACGCTGTTTAAAAAAAAGAAGAAAAGAAAAAAAAAAAAAAGATGCGAGCGACAGTAAAATCCAGCAATAATGTCCTCGCGGGGATGCCGCTTCTTAAGCTAACCTGACTGCTAGCAGTCCAATGCGGCTAACTGTTAACACACACACACACACACACACACACACACACACACACACACACACACACACACACACACAACGGACAATAGCCAAACAACAAGCGAATCCAAACCGCTCACTCTTCACAATAAAAGAAAAATGAAATACAGGAAAAATGTGTATTCAGACACACTGTTTAGTCGCTACAGACAATGGGAGTTATATAGAATCGTTTCTACTTTTTTGGGGGATAAACGTCTTCTAACTCACCCGATAATGATTCCCTCAGCCAAACAGGAAGTGAAGCCTGTCTGCCCTCTGATTGGTCGGCACGGAGAGTCCCTTTTAATAAGGTGTATTCACAGAGATCCCGTTGACTTTCTTTTCTTTTATATTATTCACTATATTTAAGTAATTTGTATTTTACTTTTTTACTGTTCTAGGTTTATAAGATGACAACATGTTTGTTATTATGCAGTTATGAAATGCATGATATTCTGTAATTGTTTGTGTATGGAATTTGGATAAAGTTTTTTTGTTTTTTTTTAAGTGAAGCAACGATTTGTCCTCAAACTCAATAAAAAAAATCTAACTCCACGCCCACATACTTGAGAAGTATCTGCAATTAATTAATGTAGGCAAAACGTTATTACAGTTAAGTTAGTATCTATGTAATGTTCCCATGTGTTCTTTTGTTTGTTTTGTTGGGAATGATGAATATATTATAGTCTGACCAAACATTCTCTGCTAACTATTCTACTTCTTCCCTTCCTTCACGCAGATTACTGCCAGCAATGCAGCGCAGCATCAGCTTTTTAGCATCGCAATTCATTCAGAAATAGTTTTTCTAATTCTACATTTCATACTGTGTACTATTCAGTACATTTGGTTAGATACCACACTTCATTTTGTTTTCTCCGTACTTGTGCTCTGTGCAATGCCAGTAAACTTGAATCTAATCTAAGTAGGGAGTTGCCTCTGTCTATTTGGAAAGTTAAGAATCATGAATATGTACTGCCCTCCACTGGTCACAGTGAGGAACTGCAACAAATAGATTAGATGAAGTCAGTCAACGCAGACCTGGAGGTGAACCTCCTGTAAATCATTTCAAATTCACAAACAAAAAGAAAAATGATATCGTGAAATTATAACATGAATTGATCTGTGGACATGATTGGCTGTTCTCTAACTTGCTTGGACAGAATTGTATGATAGGCTACAAATACATGACAGCAAAACTCAAACCTTGATTCCAGAGACTACTTTAGTTATGGAGTACTGGCTCCATTGTACATTTTTTACAACTCAATTTATTACAACTGGATCCAAACCTAGGTTTAGAAAGCATCAGCTCTACCGGTATTGCCCAGCTTGCTTAGTCATTTCCCCACATAACCTGTAGTAAGACTGCCAACAAAAGTTTTTTGCTACATCAACAATCTAAAAAGAACTGCGATTCTGTTCTTGGTTTCTTGCCTGGAAAACATGTTAAGACAAACTACATATCTCACCGAACACGTTTGGCTGGGTTGGGTTTGAAGCCAAGGACACACGTTGGCAAACAACTTCAACATGTGTGGTTGCCCTTGAAGGATAGAGCAGTACAACTACAAATCAGAGTGGTGCATTACATGTAGAACAGTAGAGACCCCGAGTATCTCAAAGACCACCTTTGTAGAGTCGGGGGGGAACTCATGCCCATCAGACTAGGGCCAATGTTACCGAGGTTCAGTGGCAACATAAGCATGGGCATCTTCGCTCTGTGGTGGCAGAAAATAGGGTACCGTAGGACAACTTGACCATCACAATTCATACAAAGATTAAGGTGTATGTTTACAACCCTGACTAAAAACAAATCAAACTTCTTTGGATGTTTGATTAGCATAGAGCCCTTAAGTCCTGCGAGGTGACATTTATCTTGTGCGCATGTTATTCATTAACGTGTGTGCACAAGATAAAGAGAAATACCAGGGCTTTAGAGAGTCCACAGATTTGGAGTGATCGGTTGATGGGAATTATTGTTGGTTTTGTAGGTTGCACGTAGCACGGCAACCAACTGTTTTCAGCATGACTTGACATTTCTGCTTTTAAAAAAAAACAAAAAAAAAAAAAACACAAACACCCCAAAAGACTTGATCTAAATAATTCAGTCAAATCTACCAGTCACCTAGCATTTGTTTCTAGTGGTAGGTCTCTTCCTAGTCACCTGCACTCCTGCATGTCTAATGGAAATGAGTCTGGAAATTTGTCATTTGATATTCTGTTAATTCTGGCATCTAAAAAACCAAAACCTATAAATGAGTGAATTACACCAGACAATGGCCACATACGGTAATGAAAGTGACTTTGATCAACTATCATGGGAAAATGGTTTGCGCCATCATTGTAAACCTTTAAAAATACAAGTGTCAAACATCTTAATTTCAGCTGCTACTGCCCCATCAGTGATTCCGAGTATTTAGAGCAAACTCCCCGGTTGTGGTATAAAACAAGCATTTGATTAAATGTGAACAAAAAACAGCCAAACAATTAGTTTTTATTTTATTTTATTTATCGTTTACAATTTTTGTAGTTTATTCATTATGGTCAATCCTTTTGGCAAACATTGGTGCTCACTGTGTTCTGTACAATCCAGTCCCACAAAGCAGACTTAGAATTTGTTGGAAAGGGAGGAATGAGGCAAGAGCCAAGGGGGGTCCAGACGTTTACAATTTGTCCAGGTAGTTGTCCAAGGCTGAGATACCTTCCTTCAGACCCTTACGTTTGCGGATCTCAGCGACGACAATGCCAGGCTTGCTTGTAGGGTCTAATGGGTCTCCTGGGAGGATCTGCCAATGGTCAAACACGCACTGGGGGAAGGCCTTGCCACCAGTGTTGGAACGAAGGTCAGCTGTGAAACCTGAGAATGCACAGAGCAAGGTATGCTTTTAACACCTGTCTACCAAGCCTCTATTACACTATGGGTTAAAGGGTTGCAAGGCGTGCTAGTGCAGCAGTCATAAATGTGGAGTGACCAGTCATTTCCCCCTCTGGTCAACAGCTTGGGGCGTCTAGTATAACATGGTAGCTAAAAAAAAAGCCTTCCAGTTGTCGGGGTCAAGTAAGTCACAAAACAAATATATAATTTTCTGCATGACCACACACTCTACTCATGGTAACAATTATCTTCTTTTTCCAAAAGTATCTCCTCATTAGGTTAGGCCGCTTGGTATTTTACACTAAAAAGCATCTTGAGTTTCAGTAACATGAATCTAAGTTTTGCTACTGGTCCTTGTAAGGCTAACAAATGAAAATTGACACGTCAACAAACTGGAAGATGTGACAAAGATGGGGTTTCAGTAAAGTTAGTTCCACCTTTACTATGCGTCAATTGTTTTATCCCATTATGATTTTGCTTCTAAAGGCTGATTAAAAGCAGTTATTGGGACATCTGGGTGATTCTGTCAATTGTGCATTAGCATGTTGGATGGGATCCAGTCACATACCCTACAGGTGTAAGGCTGTCACTGTCCTAAACTCTCTTGCTATTTAAACCCTAGTAGTGGTGTAACGGACATAGTTGAGTCATGATCTGTACGGATATCCACCCTCACAGAATTAACTTTGTTTAACCATCATAGTGTGAAATAAAGTTTTAATGCAGATCATAGTCGGACGATATTCAGTAAAAGTATGCAATCAGGAGATCCGCATTAATGCTTTCAAGTCACCAATCCCCGATGATGCTACATGTGAAACAAATGTGTTGAAAACATCATGAGCGCTAATAACGCTGCAGCACTGCTGCTACGAGCTAACGAAGTACGTTGGTTCCATTCAGTTACATGACGCGTTCAGGGTCTTAAGTAAAAACGAGTATTAGGCGAAGGTAAATTAACATTATCATGTGATCCAATGTCTTGATAAAAAAAGGACTTACCAAATGACTCATTGACAGGCAGGAAGGCCTTGGTAACACGCAGGGGTGTACCAAGCATACATTCGCCGCCCTCAATCACGTGACCACGCCTCCTGTTTAACACACCGTAGATTCCACCCATCGCATCTTCAGGACACTGCAAAGTAGACAGGAGATATTTAGTTTTACACTTCATGCTCACATTTGTGAAATGACAGGCAAGTCAACTATAAACAGTTCTGGTTATTACTTGCCCATGTGTGACAAGTAAAGACCGTTGCAACTTAACCATGATGCCCTGCCTAGATATACCGGCACCCTAGAAAAAAAACATTTCCAGTGGCACTGACCTGGATCTCCACCAGGTAGATTGGCTCCATCATTCTGGGCTCGGCGGTGAGCTCGCATGCGTACAAAACTCTGCGAGCAGTGGGAATAATTTGACCACCACCACGGTGAATAGCATCTGTATGCAGGGTCACATCATGGACGTTGAAGCGAATGGCACGCATGTTCTCTTCACAGAGGACACCCTAAAGACAACAATTGTAGATGAAAAACAATTACATAACCCATTCATAGCCCTAATCCAAACTTAAAACCGTTTCAGCTGAGTGCAATGAATTTGTGCCTTAGTTTAGCCTCCTTACCTCCTTGACTGCCCACTGGAAGCCAGCCACAACGCTATCCTTGATCTCATTAAGGTACTGCACTCCCTTGGTAACGTCCACCAGAAGGTTGGGGCCAGTTCCATCAGGTCCGAAGCACCAGATCTTTCTGGCCTCACCGACATCCCAGTCAAACTTGTCAGTGAGGTATCGGGCACGGGCCTTCAACTCCTGGCGATGGCCAACCTCACCCTTCTCAATGTCCTCTGCCAGGCCGTCCGCGAAGGGACAGGCCTTCATGAACAGACGGTTGTGCTTGTTGGGAGACTTTGAAAGACACACAACACTGGACTCTTCGCTGACGGTCTCCCTGTAGGACACCACTGGATCAGATTTCTAAAAAATAAAATTAAAAAAAGTTTCAATGCAGACATGTTCAGGGATACATCAAAATGACTTGAAAAGTATACATTTGATTTGCTATTAATTACCTTAAGTGGAACGCAAGCATGATCCTCCTCCAGATCCTTCAAACAGATCTCCAGATGCAACTCTCCAGCTCCAGCAACGATATGTTCTCCAGACTCTTCAATGATGCACTGCACCATGGGATCGGACTTGGACAGACGCTTCAATCCCTCCACCAGCTTGGGCAAGTCAGCAGGGTTTTTGACCTCCACAGCAACTCTCACCACAGGGCTGACACTGAACTTCATCACCTTCATGTTGTGTGCCTGCTCGTAAGTGGTGATTGTTCCGGTCTTGATAAGGAACTGGTCCACCCCGACCAGACCCACGATGTTACCACATGGCACATCTTCAATGGGCTCAGTATAACGACCCATCATCAAGATGGTCCTGCGTGAGTGGTAGAAACAAGACAATTCAGATGTGACCAATATCTGATAAGTTGACTTAAAATTACTGCAATCAATACATATCAGACAACTGATACAGATGTTGAAACTAACCTCTGAATTGGCTTCAAGTACAGATCATCCTTCTTTCCAGGGACAAAGTTTGGTCCCATGATGCGTACTTTCTGGCCAGTGGCGACACAGCCAGAGAACACACGGCCAAATGCATAGAAGCGACCCTTGTCATTGGATGGGACCATCTTGGAGATGTACACCATCAAGGGAGCCTTGGGGTCACAGTTCTTGATACCTGGTTAAAAACAATTTGTTTGACAATAAGTTTGAGTCCAAAAACAACTACTAATCAAAGCCACATCTGGAATATTTGAGTATTGTCATACCCATGGCAGCCTCATCATCTCCAGGTCCTTCGTAGAGCAGTTCGCAACGGTACCTCTGGGCAGTGACAGGGGAAGGCAGATGGATGGTGATCATTTGCAGAAGGGCTTCTCCGGCAGGCAGCCAGCGGCGCATCACAGCCTTCAGGAGAGGCTTACCCTCCTTCTCCTTGTCCTCAGCATCCAGCTTGATGTCCAGCTTTGCGACCAGTTTGGCAGTTTCCTCCTTGTTGAAGTTCATGATGGCATTGAAGACCTAAAAGAAAGTCCATTTGAATTAGCAGACTGCGATTAAACATGACCACTTTGCTTGCAATTAAATATGACTAAGCCAAGAATGAAACAAGTTTTTCTGTGCCCTGCTCAGAGTGAAGGTTATCATCACCGTTTACTCAGGTCAAAGTGAAGAATGTTTCAAATCATCACATGCAGGCACACAGTAATAACCCTTTTAGTTTGCTTAAAAGTTTACAGATATGGAATTATCAAATTACAAAAAGGTACTACACTGCCTTTTTTTAAGTGCACTGTAGCACAATAACATTTAAATATAATCAGCCATGTTACCTTGAAGATGGGATCCAGGATGAGAGCAACAAAGGTACGTGGGTACCTGGCGCCATCAGGCCCATTAGCACTTTTAAGGAACTTTCCAGTGGCTGCATCAAAGAACCTAGAGAAATACACGAGTGAAGATTCGTTACTTTATATGTGCTAGTTGTGTTCCCACTCGGATTGTGTGCGCTTTAATTGGCAATCAAGCTCGAGACTGACCTGTCACCCCACAGCTTCCTCATCATGTCTTCCACCTTCTTGCAGTTCTCAATTGGTGTCATCTGGGTGTTGCCCTTGGCAGCAAACTTGGCTGCATACATCTCAGCAAACTGCTTCAGGGTGAAAGCCCAGCCATGGAGTCCAGAGCCAAAGCCAACTGTTCCAATGACTGGATCGACCTTTGAAAGTTGACATAAGTATTAATCAATTTATGTTTTATTTAGCTATACTGATTTTACTTTGGACGCAAGAATAAAGAGACAAAAATACTCATGTTGGGTCCGTTTAGTTCTTTTAAATTTAAAAACCCGTTACAGGAATCAGATTTTTATATTTTTAAATAAGAAAAGTATGCCGTTTTCAGAGTAGCCCAGTACATAAATTGGGACACAGGAGTTAATTGAGCACAACCCTTTAGCTTGGAAATGCACCGGACTAAATTTTAAGACACGAGGCCAGTGTGTTGCACTCAAGACAGAAACTCACCATGATGGAGCCCATAGGTCCACTTTCGTCTTCTCCGTAAGTGGAAATGATGACATTGACTGACTCAACAATACGCTGGAAAGTCTGGTAAAGGTCTTCAGGCTCAAGCTGCAACTCCAACAAGGCACGGTCCATCTTGTTCATCATCAGGACTGGCTTGATACGCTCACCAATGGCCTGACGGAGCACTGTCTCAGTTTGGACACAAACACCTGGCAGGGATAAACAATGAGACAATTTAAGATCAAGTTGCAAGTTCACACAAGCAGCACTATGGGAAACAGAGTATGAAGGACACCGTTTAATTATTTACATAGCAAATCAGACCTTCCAGGTTTTCCTGTAGCATGTGTACATTTAAATGTAAACTAACTTTTAATGTTAATCTGACGTAAGAGTTTTGTCTAATTTTATATGCCCGATAAAACGATGTGACTGGCCATGTTAACACTTTCATTTTATTTGCTAAGATCAAAATGTTGGCTAGTGAGGGTTTGACAGTCTTGTCATTACCTGAAACACAGTCCACTACAACCAGGGCTCCATCAGTGACACGGAGAGCAGCAGTCACTTCAGAGGAGAAGTCAACGTGCCCTGGTGAGTCAATCAGGTTGATCAAGAAGCCAGAACCATCCTTGCCCTGCTTGATGAAGGCCAAGTCATTCTCGGCCAGCTCGTAGAACAAGGAGATAGCGCTGCAAGTCAGAATGGATAACTTTTTAGACAGCCAGTTTAATGAAAGTGTTTAAATAAATGCAAATATCGAAATAATGTAATACACAAGTGGTACAATGGAGCGGATAATTTTTCAGATCAGCGAAAAAGAATAAATAAAAACTTTTCATTTATTACTTTACAATTAACAGCTTTACATTCCATAAATGCATTGTAATTGAATTAGCTTGGGAATGTACATTTGAAAAATACACTTTATGAATATGGTCAGCTCAAAGAAAGGAAACTTACAACATTTAACTTTCACCCAGTTCTTTATTGAGTCCTAACATTATTATAGGTTATACAAGTGTTAACTGCATGCATTCCTGTGAGCCGGTGTGCTATGACGATGTAAGGTGCTTAGTCACCATTACTGTGCAGAAATGTTTCGTTTATCACTAATGGCAGATGACACAACCAACTCACCATCCAGACCCAGGGATGAACAGAGATGGGAGCTAAGCTTAAACACCTAGGACCTCAGGCTACTCCACCACCCTGCCTGCTGATGCATAACAAGATGCTTACTGACGTATAACAAGATGCTTACGTTGACTTGATGGTGATGCAACGCTCCTGTTCGTCTTTGCGTGTGTCAGTGAAACGGGTCTCTCCAGCACGAGCTGAGGCAATGATGCCAGCCTTTGACACAAGCGAGTCCGTCAGAGTTGACTTTCCATGGTCAACGTGCGCAATCACAGACATGTTACGGATGTTGGCCTTCTTGTCCATGATGGCACGGATTTGGTCGATCGTAAAGTTCACCTGAAGGGGGAGAGAAAAATTGAAATATAGTAAGAAGATTTACATAACGGGAAAAAAACTAAATACAGAAATGTAGCAAAAGAGTATCCAGAGCATATTGAATATTGCTGCAGATGCTGTGTGAATTGTTCTCCAGTTCCACTTAGGGCGTTATCCGCCATAGTCACCGCTGTGACGTTGTCGTTCTCCATTTAGCTTTGTTTTTTCAGAATCTTTCGCATGTGATTTCCAATATATCCATTTAACAATTATATCTAGAATAAAATGACAATTCAACCCACAAATCATTAGTAGCATTAGAACTCAACTAAGCACCAACCGGCATAATACGTCAGCACAAAATAGGCCACGTGTACAGACTCATGATTCAATGCTAATGTTAGCTTGTTTGCCAAAACTAGCCAGCAGGGCCCGTTAGCATTAAATGCCGGCAAATTATAAGCCGGGGCGCTGCGACTTCAGAAACACGGTGCCAACACTACAAAAGGCAACATTTAAATAGTCACTTGCCCCCCAATTCAGTTACTACTCATGTATGTCGATATTAGCTAAATCTTCCGTTAGTCGGAGCAAAGAGCCGCCGCTCAAAAAGGTGAGCATACGCAACATCGTAGCGTCACTTTACGTTAGCTATTTAAGAGTCGGTCGACACATTAACACTCAAAACGGGCCACAATGCATTAACGTAGGCAAACAACCCACAGTTTAGTAAAATAATTGTAAAACTGATTCTCTAGAGTCCCGGTAGCTCCATAGGGCCATCGGTAACGATGACAGAGCGGCTGCCATTTTGATCAAAGCACAATCGCCAGAAATAACCTTAGAAGTACGCACATCATCCGTAATATTAACGTCAAGGGCATATTGTGCACTCGATAATGCATTAACTACTCGGGGAAGTACGATAAACTCACCATTTTGACGGATGGTTTCGGATCCGCTCAGTGGCGAGAAGAGACAGGAATTTTGTACGCTGCCCACCTCACGAGGTCATAGGCAGGGAAGAGACCGCTGACGTCAGAAAATTGGGATTTATAGTACGTGCGTCGGTCCGCGTGCGTCATCACGTAATGTTGCGCTCAAGACCGTGTGGCATGCTACGGCTGCCGAGAAGCACAAGTTTACCTGTCGACAAAGCCAAAAGAGCTTTATCATCATTCATTCATTGAATTACTTGATTATTTTTTACACTTATTTATGTAAATTACTCTTTTTTATCCTCCTTTCAATCTGACTATAGTATAATTCTGTGAAGGATTTGTAAATTCCTTACTGATCGTGCCTTCGAAAACATTTAACAATAACTGTACATCAATGCATATAATTAGCTGATCAAGAATAGCTTTTTAACATGATGCATTTATCAAAGTCCCAGGGACTAAATACGTCTAAAATGTTGAGTCTGAGTAGGCACCACGTTGTATTTGCATTATTAAATTGCCTGATTCCCATTTGCACAGCAGTCGATATTATGGTCTAATATTTTTTTAAATGATTCAAGCAGGACTTTAGAAATGAAAATGTGACACAAATGCTTCTCAAGGATTCAAAGATAATTTATTGTCATTATGCAACACAGGGATGAACAATGAAACAAACATAACAAACAAAACAAAAACAGTACACGTAAATCTTCTATTTCCCTAACATTTAAACCAGTAATTCAGCGTAACATCAGTTTTTATGCATCCAGCATTCACACCGCAATTCATTCAGAAGTTGCTTTTCTAGTTCTGTATGTTATTTTGTATATTATTCAGTACATTTGGTTAGATACCACACTTCATTTTGTTTTCTCCATACTTGTGCTCTGTGCAATGCCAGTAAACTTGAATCTAATCTAAGTAGGGAGTTGCCTCTGTCTATTTGGAAAGTTAAGAATCATGAATGCCCTCTACTGGTCACAGAGAAGAACAAATAGATAATGCAACAAATAGATCAGATAAAGTCAGTCAACGCAGGCCTGGAGGTGAACCTCCTGTAAATCATTTCAAATTCACAAACAAAAAGAAAATATCGTGAAATTATAACATGAATTGATCTGTGGACATGATTGGCTGTTCTCTATCTAACTTGCTTGCACAGAATTGTATGATAGGCTACAAATACATGACAGCAAAACGCTCAACCACTGAGTCCAGAAACAATTACACAACTTTGGTTATGGATTACTGGCTCCATGTTGTACCTCAATTTATTTTAACTGGATCCAAACCTATACCATGGATGACAGTTACCCCAAATAATGCCAAATTTCCCTTTTAATTTCTCACTTGACCTCCTATGCCTCTCCTCGTGTCTCCTTATTTAAAGACTTTGCCTTTTACCTCTTCCTCTCCACTAGGGGGCTGTGGCTTCACCAGTTCCCTGCAGTACATTCTGATTACCTAATAGCACCAATGACGCATTCAAATGCCCTTTATTCAAGGTGTGTTTATCAGAAAGCATTACATATGAATTTGCCAGGTCATGAGGTCATAAAGTGTTGGTGGCTCACAAGAACATTTTGACTAATTAAGATCTGTTTTTGCTAAATGTGTCAAATTGGTACTTGGAACATTGTGTCCTTCCTATCAGCACAGCAATGATGCCACACACAGAACTCATTGAATTATTTAAGGAAACTATTATATAATACTTATACTCCACTACATTTGAGAGGCCAATTATGCACTTTAGTTAGTGACC